TACATTGTGGACTATTGGGAACGTGATTTTTTCTATAATTCAGACATGTAGGCGATTAAGTACATTTTTGATCACGCTCATGTTGATGACTATATTTATTACAAAAGTGCGACGCACACTTTACTCTAATAATCTCTATATTATTGGCATTTATACATTCATACATAGTATCGCTATCACGAGATTACTATTAGCTATTACTGAGTGCACAATATTGTTAAATATAGTTCTGATGACTTAATAATATGTTCTTTTTTTTTCTAATAGATTAGTATAATTGGTACGGCACACTATACGACTTGAACTAGTTGGAAGACATTCAACACATGCAGTGTTATGAACGAATGAATATTATTAATGAATGTGATTACCACATTTGCGTGTTTCACTGTCGAGTATAATAGAACAAACAACGGTATTATGTTGACGTTATATTTTGTGATGGTGGATAACGAGTATAAGTCCTTGATGGTGGCAAAATATGCATAAACTCTGAGAAATTATTCGTTGGTGTAAACTTGGATAGTTCGGAGTGATACTTTTATTGTTTTTAGGAGATGGGATAGTGAATGAGAACAAACCGATGTATAAATCGTAATGATTATTGTGATGATGATAATTGGAAAATTGATGAGATGATTGTTGGTGCTTTGAAGGATATTTTTGAGAATAAGATGCATTAGTTTTATGGACTTGATCATCTGAAGAGAACTAGAATGGTGATATTTTTTAATATAATCCATGATGTGAATTTTTTGTGTCATTGAGAATGTGCTGTTTTAAACACGGCCTAACTAATGTTTTTATATGGTTTTTTAAAAGAAATAATAAAAGAATAGATTTTTAAAAACCTTGCTTTCAGTTTTCTTAACTCAAACACTCTAGACAATGAAGTCACCCAATACGTTTGATCTCAATATAGTTGTTCTCTAGATAACTGTTCTGATATACTAATATAATGTTTCAAGCGAGTATACTGATGCAGTCACAGAATCGGTATCAGTTGTGCGTTTGTCCGTGACTGAGTGATGTGTATATGCTATCATCTGTGTATTGCAGCGCAATAATAGTTATAAGCGAGCTTCGATAAAAATTTGTGGCTTACCCACGACATTCGTAAGTTAAACAGGACATCATTGCGTTCGAGTTTCTTCATATATCCACAATTTTCATACTCCACAATTTTTCATGACTCACTGCTCTAAAAATGTACCCATCTGATATCTCTTGTCCCAATGGATCCCTCCACGCAGGTCCGCCCACTATTACATAGCCGCGGAAATTTCACTTTGCTCATCGTGCAGAGCATCAAAAATAACCTAAAAGTCTCGCTTACGCTTTTTTGAAAAAACGTGTGCAAAGTGGTTTTCTAGATACCTCAAGTTTTAGGTGAGGGTGAAACCGAAATCGGTGAAAATGAACGAAACATAATTATACATTAAATTGTAGCTCTTGAGGAGTTGATTCTAATGGTGAAGGACTTTGTTCTGGATCTAACTTTACATTCGAGTGGTACTAAATTTATTTGAAAAACTTCTGAAGTTTAACCTCGATTTTCTCCTAAACGCTCCGAAAATTTTTCGAAACATAAGAAAGCCTCAGAAAATATTGAAGTACATTGAATTCTTCATGCTGAACAGGAATATAGGATCATAATAGCTCAATATTCTTTTCATAAAGTAAGGTTTTAACGGGTTTTCTGGAAAACTGAGGGTGAAAAATGGAAAGTGTCGAGGATAGTTGTATGGGCAAAGTTATAGATCCTACTAAGTAGTTTCTATCCTGTAAACATCTCGAAAAATTTTCGGAGCGTTTAGGAGAAGATCGAGGGTAAACTTCAGGAGTTTTTCAAGTAAATTTAGTACCACTCGAATGTAAAGTTAGATCGAGACCAAAGTCCTTCACCATTAGAATCAACTCCTCAAGAGCTACAATTTGATGTATAATTATGTTTCGTTCATTTTCACCGATTTCGGTTTCACCCTCACCTAAAACTTGAGGTATCTAGAAAACCACTTTGCACACGTTTTTTCAAAAAAGCGTAAGCGAGACTTTTAGGTTATTTTTGATGCTCTACACGATTGGCAAGGTGAAGTTTTCGTGGCAAGATGTTCTGTATAAAGTGGGCGAACCTGTGTGAAAGCACCCGATACTAATTTTCACAAGTAGTGCTGAAAATAACATTCTCTCTGCTTTAACTATAGGGATTGTTTCATCTGATTCTTATAGATCTTAAAAGTTGAATGAATTAAAAAAAGCGTGATAATTTATTCACGACATTATTGTTCTGAAGTAGTGATGTGATGTTTATATCGAAAAATTCAATTCTAAGAAGTAATTATTTGTAAATGTCATAGATATCGCATGCTTCGTTTTTTCTATTATTCAAATATGTGATTTCCTGCAGTGACGGAAGCAATGAGAGTGAAGGATGTGAGTAAACCTTCGTAATTGATTTTCAGTTTTCAAAATTTTTTCAACAAAAATTCTATTTTAAATTCTATGAGAGTGAACACTGCACAATTGAAACACGTATTTTTTTATTGTTTTTTGTTTTTAATAAAGAGCGTAAAACCATGAATTTTGTCTGTGTTAGTAATAAGGATTTTTGAGGTATTGACAAAGAGAACTTATCAGCTACACAAAAGTATCTTGTCGGTTAAGAAATACGATCTATAATTGCGTTTGAAGCTTCGTACTCTAAAAACTATCCTTCAAATCCGGCACTAGAGATCTGGATTCAGCCATCAGTTTTCCAGTTGTGAGGAACTATTACAATTAAATATTCTGTATTATAATACGTTTTGAACAAATTTGCAATTATTGCACTTTATCTACAACTTGAGTAGTACAATTATTGCATTCCGATACTTTCTAGGCTCTAAATTTTCAGTCAAGAGAATAAACGCCTTCTTGATCTTCTTCACGTTGACCAAAATGTTTATACTAATTTCTAATCAACATTTTGTCAAACAAATTTTCATAGTTTTGAATGCATTTCGAGAATTTTAGGTACATTCCATGGCACATTTCATGGGGAAATACTGTTCCCTGCCGATTGAGTTGACAAACAAAATTTGACGTCCATGTTTCTTCTTTTTTTCTGGATACCCTTTGACATTAATATTTCTATTACGTCATGTTTGTAATTAGTAAACGTGACGTAGTACTCGAAACTGACAGGTTTGAGTTGCAAGCATTCTATGATAGCCGCAAGGCGAAATATTTTTTCTTTCCTCTTGCCAGCAACATACTGTCGAAACTGATGTTGGAATCGGACATTTCACAAAGCGTGAAGAATAAGTTTTGTCTTTTTCGCTTAATGCATTGTTCACAACAAGTATGTTTTCAACCACTTATGAATAATCAATTATGATTTTGATTAAAACTCAATTCACTATTTCAAGAATATCATTCAACTAACAAAAACATGCGGCAAAATCTGACAAATTCATTCTATACTTTATCTTTGCCTGAATGAGGATCAACGTCATTGTAGTGACATAAAATAAAAGTCAAGAAAGCGTGTTCTGACATAAAAAGAACTTGAGAGGATTTTATCTTAAGTGCATAGTATGTGTCTACTATTTGTGCCTATTCATGTAATAATATGAACAACAGAAAAGAAATATTCTCTAAAATTATTGTTAGTTTCCTGGTGAAAATACAGTACTTAAAAAAACCCTCTTGCAAAAGAATAGAAATGGTCGCTGTCGTTTACACTTATAATTTTCTACATAAAACAGCAACAAATGTTGACAACATATTATAATACAGTGTCTCTTGGTTCAACGCGTTCATATAATAGAAAGGCCTTTTTAAGCGATCTCTTAAGAAAAACGAAGACTTCTACATGAAGTTAGATGAAATGGATTAATCCTGCATTTTTTTGAGAGTGATATATGTAATATTCACTGAACCATCTTAAAGTTAAACTCATCATCCGATGGTCGATGATGAGAACTACACAGTTCATTATTCATTCTCTTTTATATGTGCTAGCATTTGAAAACAAGGGCATATCTATAAAATTCTGTTAAAAACGAAAAGTTTCTTTTCTATCAGTTCTTTGTTCAGCGTTTGGTTGCACATCACTGAAAAGTTTATAAATATTTCAACCAAACATCAATTAATTGAATTAATAGCTGACACATGACTGAATATATGTCAACTACCTTTAAACTCTTCAATGCTGCGCACACACATATAAACCAAATGTGCTTACATTAATTACTATTGAAATTTTGTGTCAAATAGTCAATATAGCAGGTTAATGTGTCTTTTTCTGATCTCATCACACTTTAGTTTACCCAACGATATTTTTGTTTTTAATTGTATATTTGCGTGTTTTCATAGAAATTTACATCTCTAGCTTTTTTCTTCTCTTTTTCTATTATTTCTAAATAATTTATTTTGAGAATTATTTTACCCTTGATCTACTATACACTATTTTCCACGTTGACAATTTAAAGATGTTATGTAGTTGCATTATTTATATAAAGAAGAAAAGAATGGAAATCGTTTTATTATTTTTTTTTATGGAAAAACATATAAATCCGAGTGAGTGATTAATTCCATACAGTTATAGAAAACGTGCTGTGATGAAAAGAGGAATAAGTAAGAATTAAAATTGATGTTCGAAAAAGACTTCTATTAGTAGATTAGCTACTTTTTCATATACCATAGTTGTACGTACTGTTAACTCTACTAGGTTGTATAATCTTGTTTCAGTGGAACGTAAAATACTCTGATCGTTCACATTACTATTTACGTGGTTTATTGTCTAATAAAAGTATAAAAATATAACATATATAACATATATATATCTTTAAAAGTTCACCAATCGATTGTTTTTTTTTTCACTGGAGTTTAAACCGGTCTGACTGATATATTGTTCACTTGAAATTATTTACATTCAAAACACTTACTTCATGTTTAATTTAACAATTTCTTCGAATATAAAGTGTTGATAAGAAAGTAATCTAAATAAGAGAATATTTCTATGTCGAATGTCTTGGTCTATAAGATGCTCTCAATTCTTTCATTATATGTCGTTCATCATCAGACAACAATCGATGCTGATCTTCGAATGTGTCTAATTCGACAATATTTGTGTGACTTGATGTAGTATCTGTTATCATCACCAATGGTAGATGACGATTATGTAAATTTTCTCCGACATTTGCACTGTTAATCGCACATAACCAATTATCATCTCTTTGCCTTAATTCACGTGCAGAAACAACAGGTTTTATAGCCAATACATTAGTTGAATAAGATGGCCGTTTAGTAATGGGATGAAATAATAGTGTCTTTTTCGTAGTAGATGGTAATTCATTTACTTTTCGAAACGTTGTTACTGTTGTGGTACTTTCATCCGATGGAAGTGACGTATGTGCACATAATGCCTGAGTGGAAACACAATTTTTTGATTTAAAACTTTCATTATCTCGATTACACTAAAATACGCAAGAAAATTTTTTTTTTTGATTAATGAATATAAACATCAAAATGTACTTGCCTTTTGAAGTGGACTGATTATGGATGATTTTGTATTTTTTTCGACATATAAAAAATGTTTCTGTTTATGTTGTTTACGAGTATATTCATCACCGCTCGAACTATCGCTTTCTAATTTATGATTGTTTCTAGAACCTGATAATTTAAGAAGACGTTTAACTGGTAATAAGGTACGTTGTTTGGGCTCAATTAATATTGTGCCTGTTAGAATTGGCTGTTTTTGTTTCTCTTTTGAACAACGTTCAAATGATTTTTTTTTTGATGACATAAGAGATGTTTGACGTTTCCAAAATAGACGACGTTTTAAACGTGGTAATAAACGATCGAATGAATGAAATGCTATCTGATGTCTTGCACGATTTTTCATTCTTGAACGTTTTGTTTTATTTGGAATACTTGTCGTACTATCGTTAAGTCCATTGTTAATCGACGATAAACGATTTTTTTGACATTTAAGATGAATAATCAAAGCTAATGCAATACCTAACCACACTAAACCAATTGCTGATAAGATAACTAATGCACGAATAGCAATGGCAATTTTATCACCATTTTTTAAACCATCACCAAGCAAATATTTTCTCCAGAAATTTGGTGTTGTCGAATTTAACAAGGACATTTCCTTTCCATTCTCTGAACAACATGACACACATAAAAGAGAGATAAATTTCGAAAGAGGAGATCTTAATTATTAGTCGACTTACCGTTCCTTTCAGTTCTAGTACAACTACTACTGCTATCAATATCTTTTATTAAACAGCAACGAAAGTGAAATATGATCGCCTACAAACAGAAGAAGAAAAAAAAAGAAAAATTCAATATTCTTCTTTTTCTTTTCTTTTTGTCCATTCATTATGCGGAAAAGAAAAAAGAGATGTAGGAATTGTCTGCACGAGATTAAGTAACACCGACATAACAAGTATGGCTTAAAATTTAAAAGATTAAATGTCAAAATATCTTATTTTTTTGTCTACACTTTGAATTAATATGTTCTCATGAGTATAACAGATCTAACACGAAAAGTCACGAATTGTTCAAACTATAAAGTATACTATGTTGGTGTAAAAATCGACAGTATCTATTAGAAAGGCGTATCAAGTAAAACAATAATACACAAAACAAAATTGTGCATGAGAAAGTAGGAAACTGTTAAGTATTCACATAACTCTGCTGTATAATTTAATACTAAACGATCGTCTCCTGCTCTAAGCTGTTGTTAGCCACTTTTTTAACTTTATAAAAATTTTTATTAAGTAATTGGTTAGTACAGGTTTTTATCTTCATGAGCGAAACATATCAACGTGAAGAAAAAAGTAAAGTTCATGTAGAGTCGTGGAAAAGAATTTTTTCATTTTCAGCACATTCGATAACTCAGAAGATTTTCTATTTGTGGCAAGACTTATTGTCAAAAGTTTAGGAAAATTTTTCTAACAAAATGACAAAAATAATTTCCATAGATAAATAATATTAGTTTCAAAATTTTTCTTAAATTTTTGGCAAGATTCCTCGTCATGATTTCTCTCATAATCGCATATCAATTGTGTGTAGTTTTGTTTCTATCCATTGTTATCGTGTGTTGTTTTCCTCTAAAAAACAATGACGATAAGTCCGATTTGATACCTACGTAAAAATGTACAAAATCTTTTGTCTTATTTATAGAACAATATTCCTTTGACAAATAGTCGTATAAAGATATCTTATTGTATATTTGTATCTATCTATCTTGATGAAATTATTCTACTGTATTTCGTCTCTATTTTATGACAAACTGATGTGACTTATCTATATAGTATTAATCGGTGAGAGAATGAGCCACATCTCTCATAATGATAACTAATAGAAAAACAATAAAAAGAAATTATTATTTCTATGTGAATCTCATTGGAATACTTGAAGAGATTTTCTTCATCTAGCTCTATCTGAACATTTATTTGAAAACCACACGCTTCACAGTGTTAAAAACCAATTGTTTGTGGATGTACACCTCAATACACGTCTTTTTTCTTCTACTAGCCTCAGGCAAATGAAAGTATATCACTTTTCTTTCACACAAAAGTTCTAAGTATTTCATATTCCTATAAAAAAAATGATGATGAAAAAGAAACCTATCTATAATAAACGATACAATAGTAATAAAATGAAAATGAAGTTTTTCTTACACACCTGTCAAACGCATTAGTAAAAAGAAATGTATTCAAGTGAAAGTCATTAGAATGTTTCAGTTTTAATTTTTTTTTTCTCACTTTTGATGAATCAATCTATAGCATTTTTGAGGCGACTGTGTTAATAAATTCTATATGATGAAAAACTCGCAAGTACTAAATGACTATCTACATATCTTGACAAGTTATTCCTGAAAAATTATCATTCACCATTACTAAAATTATTGTGTATCCAAAATATTCAATTTGTTTTAAAAAGATGTTCTTACTCGATTATGATCTATGCGTACTATTTCACCAACTTAATCAAATGTTTATATTTATTTCTAGAACTGTTAGCTGAGATTATGAATATTGTTTTGGACGAGCCTATCAGTCTCCTATTAGTTATCAAGACTTCAATTTTGCTTCCTACAAGTGTTCACTATTCTCAACGATTATAGCATGTACTTTATACAAGAAAATTTGATTGAAAATAGGAGAAAGTTATTTCTGATGATGAGAGAACAAGGTTGTTTCATTATTTATTAAAATATCAAATGAATATTTGTTCAATTGTTGAACACACTTTTTGACAATTTATTCCATTTTTGGTCAAATTAAATAATCGTAGTGACTGAGGGTAATATAGGTGTCTTTACTTCGCAGCACTAATAAGTGTACTTATAAATCGTAGAATTTGTAAAAACGATATGTATCGGAGTATTCTCTTGAAATAGTGTTTATTTTTGTATAGTTATGTGCATGTATTTTGCATAAAATATACTATGGTGAAGGGGTTTCACTAGTTTGACGACGACATTTTCGAGTATGGCTTCCAAAACTGTTTTCGGTTCCAGCACTTGTAGTTTTTGATAAAAGTAACAGTAAAATATGAAGACACCCACAGACGCCACACAGACAGCTACACAGACAGCATAGAGACACCCAAAAATATGGACGTCTGTGTGCTGTCTGTGGATATCTTCATGTTTTACTATTACCCAACCCCCTATTTTAAAAAAAACTTTTTTCGAGTTGATATTTTTAAAATTTCAATAAAAACGTTAATATTTTTATATGAAGAGTTGATTCTAGCGTAATTCGATCAAAGATATTAAATTGTAGTTTTATCAAATTTTATCAAATTTTATCAAATTGTAGTTTTATCAAATTTTATTCAAATTCTGTATTGTAGTTTTATCAAATTTTTTTCTTAGTATAGCAAAGCAAGACTTATTTGGCTGCCAAAAATGAATTCTAAAAATTTTAAGGTAACCTACCTTGTAGTCCGTGAAATTTTCTATCCAATGAGGTAGGTATAGCTTGGATTTTTTTGCTGAGTCATTATTTTGCAAATGAGACTGTAAGCAATTAGGCTAAACTAACATTAATTCGTGCTAATTAGTCAATAATAGGAACCAAGCACCAAGTTATTATGATGAATAAAAGATGAATCGAATTTTTTTTAAAATAATAAATCCGGACTAAAAAAGTGACAACATTTCTTTTTAAGTAATTTTAATATTTTTCCCGGCCAAGTAAAGTCAGTAAGCCCAAAAAAGCTTCATGACATATACTTCAAAATATCCTATACAAACTGGGAAGATTTAAACATGATATAAATGGGGATTCTCCTTAAGGAAAATCATTTATCTAATGAAATATGAAGTTCTTGTCGGATCTTAAAATCATAGATGATGAAGAAGCACTTAGACACAAAGAACTTTCAGTATTCATTAATTATTTCTGTTTATAATTATAGTTCAAACGAATCCTTTCTATATTATTATTAAAATTTTTTATTCCAATATACAACGATATTTATTTTCTCAACTTTTCTATGCGAATACCTTTTATCATTCTTCTTTACCAGGTTCAAGTTCAGGTCATTTAGTTTTATCTATTGATGTTTTTTTAACTTTCATACATGCAATACTCTTATCTTTTTAATGTTATTAGCACGCAACCAGATCGAGCAAATAAATGAAAAATGATGGTTCAACAAACAAATGCAAAATTCGATTATCTCCAGATCTCTACGAAAAGAAATAATCGAGAACCAGTATCTGGCTCCAAAGAGAAAGACAGAGTGGAAAAAACTAGATCCCAACTACCGTGCAACCACATTAGAAAGTCGACCGAGTGAAACATTCCATAAAAACACTTTAGACACCATCTGAATCCATTACATTCAGCCTGTTTCATTTTGTAATTCTTTAGTCATTTTTAACTATTGCGCACGTAAAAGACACGTATCAGCTGATTCACCATCTCATTATACGCTCCACAATACATTTGTAAGGCAACAAGTAGTACCGTATGAATATTTTCTGTAGCCTATATTCACTGTTCAGTTACCATTAATAATCTCATAGAGAAAACCTGAGTGGCAGATGAAAATCGAAAAGTAGTGTTTAGAAGGAAAGAAAACGTTTTTATGGTGAAAAAGAATAAGCCTCTTTTTACTTGATCAGCTTAAAAGGATATTTTCTAGTAAAAAGCAATAAGTCTCTCGTTTTGCTCAATCGACTTAATGAAAAAAAGCTAGGGAAAATAATACAGCAGAAATCTTCAGATTAGCACATAATATCTCAATGACTATCAAAGCAACAACGCTTTACTACCACAACACTCGGTTACTGGGACCCAGAAATATCTTAAGTCGTACTCTGAGTAGCTCTTTAGACCCTTTAGTATAGTTATTTTCCAAGCATGTTTTTTTAGTGAAATATAAGCTACTATAGTAGCATACAGTGAAATGAGCCGTTTAAGAGATCATTTTAAATAAGAAATATTTTTATCTTGTCTTAAGTACAGAATCATTTAAACAAGGTCGATTGAACGATATACTGGATCTGTTATTCTACACTATGTTTCACTTGAATTCTTGAAGAAAAACGTGTCTATATGTTCATCCAATACAAAAATGTTGTCTTTAGAAAGCAGTCTTTTCTACTACATTTTTTTCAATTAAAATTTCAACTATGTAAGTCTTTGAACGCCAAACCATTAATTCATATACGCACCGCTTTTTTTATTATTTATCATTGTCTTACGATACACGATGGTTTATCGAAAAACCAGAACCTGTTCTGTTGTAAAATGTCTGTCTATATTTGAAATTTAGCTTCTTTAAGCACATACATTTGATTAAAATAATTTCGCGCACCAATGGCAGTTGGAAAATAATTACAAATCATTTTTCGGTACGTGAAATTGTTGATCGCAAAAGACGTAATCGCAAGTGATCTGCGGTTTCCACTGGAAGAAAAGGTCCTAGACAATAGTCTAGAGATTTTGATATCTTCAGACTCCTCTGATCAAATCACTGACTGAAGAACTGTATTTTGTTCACATGATGAAAGTAAACGATAACATAGCGGAAGAAATATGGTTAAATACATAAACAACAATTATGCTGTTTGAGTAGATAAAAGTATTGATGTTTAGAGAGGTGGCTGTTCAAATTACCGGTGACCAATGATATTTATCGCCATGTGTTATATTTGTATGACAAATGTTATCTGATGTTATTGATCTGCATGATCATGTTGCGATATATAGCTGGGTAGGCAAAACAAGTTCAAGTAAACGGTCTCTGAAAGTTTTAAATCTTTCTTATTTGAATTTATAATCTGAGCGTTATTAGCCATTTGTATCCTTATATTTGCTTTGACTGCTACATATTGCTTTATTTCAGTCATCCACATTTATAAAGTGTGGTGTAAAAAGCCCCAAAAATCATCATTGCTTTAATAGTTCAAAAATCATGTTAATATAGAAAATATAAAACAATCAAATTCATTGACACTGGAAAAAAAGCAAAACACAGAAAACGGCTTATGGTGCACACGTATTTGCTTCATGCCAATGGAGTGTATGTGGAAAACAAATCCGACCTGACACTGTTGCAAGAAAGAAAAATGATATTGAAAAGAGAATGAGTCTAATGGACTAGCATGAGTGTACCAAAAATTAAGAACATTTTCTACTGAACAAAATTTTTAATAGATATGATTCTTTTAAAAAAAAGTCGAGATTAGTGTAAAAGATAACAGATACACGTACGCATAACAAATTGTCGGACCAGCACGGTAGATTAACAATTATTTTCGTATGATTGATTTCATTAACCAAACTCTGAAGTATACTTCCACTAGGCCGTCATATAAAAGTGCGGAATAATGCAATTAGACTATAGTCCGGTAGCTCACTGACTAGAGCTTCCGGCCTGTAACCAGCTGGTCCTGCCTTCGATTCCCAGTCGAGGCGCACTTTTCCTCCACCTTTCATTCTAGATAATCATTAAGCAAATAAAAAAGATTGACTAAATTAAAGAAAAACGAAAGTGATCATTAATATTGCACATATTGGAGTCACCACTATTTGTAGGTTGTTGGGGTTGATGTCAAAAGATCTGTTCGCGCTTTTATATTTTTTAATGAAAATGGTATCGATAATTTCGCTCGTTTTTTATCATGATATTGTTTTTGTTTGTTAGGCAAACCAGATGACGGCGATGACGATACAAACTTTTTTTCTAATACCGTTTTTTGATAATGTAATAGTGGAAACATTGACGCATGTGATTCTAATGCATTTTTAGCCGATGCCATTTCAGCATCATGTATACTACGTCCATTT